CATGAAGCATCGTGGCTTTGTCCTCCAGAGATCTTCCGTCTTAACGACGTTTCTGTGTCTGAACTCAAGCCTGTGTGCGTTCCGGGGATCCGGATCCTCCCGTGTGTTCCTGCTCTCTCCGTAATGACTCTGTGGCGCCGTTAATGCTGCGACCTCTGATCGGGACCTGGCGCTGTCGGCGGCGGCCCTGCCAAAGAACAAGCTCCTCATTAAAACCCAGACCTGCGAATCATTACGTTCGCAAGGACGTCCAACGCATTGTCAGCTACAGGCTATTGTTACTTCTGAAGATACTCTGAAAGCATCTTGATGCGCGTACATGAAATTTGTTTGATTTCATCTGTTTGATTTCATCTGTTTGATTTTTATGAATTTACGAGCCAAACAAAATGACAGCAGTCTGAAATGACACGCATCCAACTAGGAGGAATAATAAGCATCCTGGTTGACTAATATTGATTTGTATTTACAGTGGGGGAAATAAGTATTTGACCCCTTTGCTGATTTTGCAGGTTTGCCCACTTACAAAGAATGCAACGATCTATAACTTTAATCATATGTACATTCTAACAGTGAAAGACAGAATCCCACAGAAAATTCCAGAAAATCACATCATATGAATTTATGAAAATTGATAACCATCTGATGAGGGAAAAATAAGCATTCTTTGTAAGTGGGCAAACCTGCAAAATCAGCAAGGGGTCAAATACTTATTTCCCCCACTGTACTTCTGAAGTTAATCACCACATTTTTTCTTAATTGAGCGATATTCCCTCAAAGATAGGAGAAAACTGAGCAAACCTAACTGTGAGACGGCTTTGAGAATAATGTAATGAGTCCAATATGAAAGTCTGATATGATCTTTATTTTCGACCGTCACACAAAAACGTTTCATGCGATAAATGTGTGGCTTACTGGAATGAACAATGGCAAAATAGGGGGGTGGCTTAACTGGTTTTTATAATCTGCCCTTGAGGAGATTGGAGTTGAGAAAATGACCCTAAAGTCGTTTTTGATGCTCCACTCAGAAATCGCTATCTCTCTGAATCCTGCAGCACTTGTGCTGGAGGAGATTATTGTTCCAGTCTAATCTACCCAGATTATGTGCTGTGTATCAGATCATCTGATGCGGGGTCAGATTAAATATTTGGAACTCGGGGCGGCCGCACACAAACCCCAGAGTCTGCGTGACTATCTTTGCTAACGCTGGGACACACACTTATCGCACGCATCTGGGTCTTTGAATCTCACAAAATGGATGTTTGCGACACACAAGCTTATCACCTGTGCCAAAGACACAATAAGGGCAAACTAGTCATTACCTGAAAGATTAGAATGCTCAGATGCAAACGTATCCTCTGTCTTCGAAATCCACTTCTAGCTCAGCTCAGTTTCATCATGTTGCCATTTTTAGCACTAGAGAAATTAAAGTCCCAGTCCAGGGGAAGTTAATGCCTTTGAAATGCATCTGTTCATAAAAAATAAATAGTTTTTGCCATGAAACGGAAACCTTTTGGACGTTAAAAAGGTTAAGTTTGGACTTGGGCTCCACATCTTTGTTACTTATGGTGAAAATGGCTGTGTGACTCTTCCCATTCTTCCAATTCTTTCCACTCTTCCCACTCTTCCCAGACCACCGACTGATGACACTGGCCCATTTTCCTCCAGTTCAGGAAAAAAAAAAGACTGCTGCAATACATGGAAACTCAGCAGCGTATGCTTGAAGGTGAAGGATTTTTTTTTAAAAAGAGCTGTTTATAAAAACAACATATGCAAATCGAGATACTTGAATGCTATTTTCCGTCACTTTTCAATTCTTTGTCTCGATATTGAGTGCTAACTTTGGTCCGCTCATGGACACGGTGACTCAGGGGTGAGTCTCTTGGGCAGTGAGGATCCACTGTACTGTACTCTGGTGCTGCCTGAACATGTTTGTGGCCCGGAGGCACTTGCATACTGTGCGGAAAATCTCTGTTTGATTTGCAGGGTCATACCAAATGGGGACAGAGAGTTCCCATTTGGAGTGTGTGGGACTAAATAAAAAAAAAAGATAATAATTGCAGGCAGAATTGCATCCCTGCATAGATCCAGTGTAGCCTGGAAATATGATGAAAATGATGTCTTTGTACAGAAATTAGTTGGAGAAACCCAATAATCTAGTTGACTGGAAAAACATCTCACAGGAAATTAAAAACCACAGACCTGTTTCTGTTTTTCTGTTTTTGATTAAACAATTAAACTACATATGTGCCTGTTCTACTCCCATAAACATGAATTAAGACATTAAGACATGAATTTCATAGTTTTAATACATGCTGCTAAACCATAAGATGAATTTTGGAGGTCTAGTCACATAAAAAAAAATCATTCCATTCTCCTCATAGCCTGTGCAAACTTTTCATTGTAGCTTAAAATCTGCTCATTTTGCCTGCTCCTTTTGGCATAGTTCCTTCTAAATCAGTCAAATGTGGAACATAAGGGTCTTTTTTAAGATGGATGGAGACTACTGTCAAGTTAAAAACTTCAAAGACCTTTTGGTGTTGGTGGTAATGCCTTTCATGACTCATTTGTTACATTTTAGAGACGCTAAAAACTTGTGTTGACTGGAGCACTGACACTGGCCATGTACACATACCTCTCAATGGGGTAAGCAACACTTTTCAACAGTCTTGTTAATGTGGGGAACTCGATAGAAATGATTTTGGAAAGAATTCAAGGCAATTCTTATCTGACACCGTGGCCCTCTAATGATGGAGATATTGCTGAATCCATAGCAGTGTTTGGACTCCTTATGAAGACGAGAAAAACACAGTAGTGATGACATAGCTAGAGGGACTATACTACGGTGTTGTTTGTAGAAAATTGAATTGTTAAGAGGAAATCATGGCACAGAAGTGTCACCATGCTGGGTCTTGGTTTAAATAAAGAGGAGCCCTTTGAGGCTTTGACAGGATGCATTGAAATGAAAAAAGAATAACCAAAATTAATACAAATTTAATAAAAAATGGATGATGTGAAAAAAAAAATCCCAATGTAAAAACATACATTATATCTGATCATGAATTAAATACTGGGGTTTGGTATAGTGGTAAATGTACACATGCAGATATTCTACTTTGTATGTCGCTTTGGATAAAAGTGTATGTATAAACATAAGTACTTGAAAATTTCTTTATTTAAAATTGTTTAATCTAATTTTTTCTTTCAATTTTTCTACATAATCATAATACGCCTTGTATAAATTGTTATTAAATTCAGAGGTTTAGACTGTTTGATAAAGATTAACTAAACCTCTGAACAACTTTTTTATTTTCTCCAGAAAAGAAGGGGATGGGGCTGATTTGAGTTAATGTAGGCCATTCGTTCAGAATTCTTCTTTTTCCTGATTTTGTTCCAATCTTTTAATCGCTCATCATTAATTTTGGTTAAGATTTGTGATCATAATTCATTTGGACCACAAAAAGCATCTTTTTAATTTACCCGTTAGACGACCACTTCTTCATGCTGAAGAAATTTATGAATATTCTTATCTTTTCCCCCCATGTGCGCTTCACAGTCTAGACACCTACAGCTTGAGGTATAATATTTATGAGGACAATTAGCAAATTATGCTTAGTGCTGCATCAGCATTACACCCTGGCCTGCCATAATGTGCTATAAGGTGTGATAACTTTATTTATATGGCTTAATTAGCAGCCTATCTCTGAGGAATCTCCTTGTAAATCCAGGTTGAAACATATTGAAATGAATTGGATCATTAAATCTAGTGTAGCCCATCGACTGCCCAAGATGCACACATGTGTCCATATGTATATATATATGGATATACATTATTTCTAAATCAATTATAACTGACCATTTAGTGGTTTGGTCCCAAAAACATAATACAGACTCAAAATCCTTGCAGGTTTTTGCACCTTAAGACACAAAACTGGCGTGCTTGATTGATGGCTTTATTTATAGCTCGCTCCAATTCAAAGCAACCTGTATCAATTTGCATGTTCATTATGTGCCTAAAATGGCCAATTATTCCATCAAAGGCGTGTTCAGAGGCCTGAACCGCAGAGCCTAAACAATCATGTGACAAATTAGCCAATTAAGCATGTTTGATGCATTTGCTCCGTGTGCCTCTTATTCGCTCAGAAAGGGCCGGACTAATTTAGCTAATGTCCATAATGCATTTTATAACGTAAGGTGTATTTTACCACTCGCTGTTTAAAGAGAGAAATATAAACAGTCATGAGTAGTTTTGTTATGCTGAAGGGAGACTGTTCTGGGCCATTGTGGTTTGAAGAGTTGCAGCTTGTGTCAGCATTCCTTTTTAACAAGAGAGCTTAAACTTTATCCGATTTGATTTCAGCTTCTATAGAGCACTGTTATTTTTTTCCATCCTGACATTCGATCAAGTTTATATAACCCTTTTAAAATTCCGCAGATTGGGGATCAAACCACGTTTGCAGTCTGCACAAGATCCATTAAAGTATTACCTAAAAGCCTTTTCTATTGTCTAAGCCATTATCCCGAAAAGTTTTCATTTCATTGCTCGTTGCATTTAATTCCTCTCTCGTTTCCACCTACTTCTCCATCCAGAATATGACTATCTTTTTTTAAGCGAACAACAGCTGCCAACGCTGCTTTGAGCAATGCAGTGTGATTAAGTCGTACATAAGTCATACATAGAGAAAAAGAGTGTGGGGGGGAGAGGGTGGACAGTATTGTGGGTGTTTTCTAATATCAATGCATGGACTTCATCCTGTGTTTATTGCTGCTTATTGGACCCACTGATGTGCCAAATGCTGAATATTCTGATGATGGACAGCTATTAACTGT